CAGGATTAATAAATAAATAAAATGATTTTTTTAAACTGGTTAATTCTATCTCCTTATCTATATACACACATAAGGCCAAATTCTGCTTACTGTTACACCAATGTAAATCCAGAATAACTTCAGTGACATCAATGAAGTTATGCCAGATTCTTTCTTTCTTTGGTTATGTCTGTAGCTAAAGAGAGGGGAAGAAATGGGGGACAATTTTACTGGGGCCCAAAGCTCAGGGGGACCCCAAAACATCTGTAACATCTGTGTAAATAAAGTGAGATGGAAGGGGGGAGCCCCAGCTAACATGATGCACCAGAGCCCCACATTTCTCTTGACAGGCCTGTGTATGTCTATACTGCAATAACAGAGTATGATTTCTAATTGTGTAGACAAACCTCACTTAACCTTAATCTAGCTAGCTCAGGTCCACAGCAGCCTGGGCTTCAGTGCAGGCTAACCATGTGAGTAATTACTCAGAGCTCTGGGTGGACTTGTACAGCCTGCACTGAAGTACAGGTTACTGAGGCTTCATTTCTCTGAGACCCTAGCTTGCTTGATAAAGCTAGGTCATATATATCTACTCAAGCTGCCATCACATCCTGTGATTGAAGTATATATACATAACCTTTCTTTCTTTCTTTCTTTCTTTCTTTCTTTCTTTCTTTCTTTCTTTCTTTTTGTGATTCTATTTTGCAGAATATATATTACATATGAGTATACATTTGGAGATCTCTGTCAAGACACAGTCTCTGCATTAGAGATGGACCTAACACCTCAAAATGTGGTGTGTTCTGAATCTGAATGAGAGGTATGGATCTGAATTTTATGAATACCCTCTTATTCCAATTACTCAAACCTCAGTTTGGATTTCAGTTGTGACATTCAGGTGCATTTCTAAGGGATAGAGCCAGAGACAAGGATGAACAAATGAAAACCCACCATTTTAAATTTAAAATATCAACTATAAATGATTGTATCACATAAGGCCCAATGGTTGTATGGAACTGATATAGAACTTGATTGTTGAAGACTATGAGCGAACTTCTGGTGCTCTGAACACTCTCAGCTCCCTTTCATCTGCAGTAAAGTTGAGGGCACTTGTAACCATCAGAACCTGTTCAGTACCTTGCAGGTGCCCACAGGACAGAAGGATGATCTTGTAGTTAAGGCAAAAGATCAGTTCCTGGTTTTGCCATAGACTTCCTGGCTGACCTTGAACAAATCACTTAATCTCTCTACACCTTATTTTCACATCTGTAAAATGGGGGTAATACTTTCTTTGTCCACTTTCTTTAAGTGCTACTGTAATAAAAATTATAAAGAGCATTGTCTTTCCTTAGGGATAGATCAAGGCATCGGTAAAGATGGTTGCCGGGAGAATGAAGGACTGTGCTTGTGTGAGAGACAGAGAGCGAGAGAAGGAAGGCAATTACTCAGTTCAACACTGAGGGACTGAAAGAAACACCTTCACATTGTTCTTCTCAAGGATCTTGAGTTCTACAGCTGCATAAAAAGTGCCTTACAATGAACAAACAATTTTTGTTTTCCCATAACTTTTTCATGACAACAGAAGATGGTTTGTTTTCTGGGCAGAAATTTGTATTTTGCTGTGAAGAAATGTGGGCCAGATCCTCCCTTGGTGTAAATCAACATAGTTCCATTGAAGTCAATGGCACTACACTAATTAACACCAGCTGAGAATCTGGCTTTTTAAGAAATGGCAAATTTTCACATACCCATCTATTAGGTGGGGCTTTGGGGGAGGGCTTGAGATATAGGGGTTTCAATGGAAGTGGAATGGGATATACTTCTACTCTGATTTATTGATGGCAAATTAAATTATTGTATTGTGTCATGCTCCCCATACAAATTATGAATTTAATTAATTTTCATGATGCTAAGAGCTTAGGTGCAGGTATCTTTTCATAGTTAAAATACCACCAAAATACATAAATAGCAAATAATCACAAATCTCAGCATGTCACCTGTCGCTGGAATCTTGTCACTTTTGCTACCAAACAGGACTTTATTCAAAGCACTTGTGGAAATGATGAAGTTTTGCTCTGAGTCAAATTTATGAGTGAACTTGTGAAAACATCCTTTATTAATAAACTTGGTAATTCTATCAGGCAACTTTCATGTAATCATCTCAAAGCACTTTTCAGTTTTATAGGCCCTAATCCTGCATATACATATGCACATTCTTAATCTTAATTTTTAGTGGGTACCTAAAGTTAAATGTGTGCTGCATGTTTGCAGGACTAGGGCCCTAGACTGTAAGCTCTTTGTATCAAGGGCTGTCATTGACTCTCCTTGCACAGTGTTTTACACCATGGGATCCTGGCCTGGCTGAGGACTCTATGCATTACCATAATAAAATAACAAACATTAGTAACAAGAAAACAATAACAATCATTAACACTCTAGCATCTTCAAAGAACTTTACAAGCATTAATTAATAATATCTAATGAGTTAAGTATTTACACATTAATTAAAGTCACAAAATAACCTTAGGGTTTAAGTATATATTGTTATACCCTTTTTGCAGATGGGTTGGTAAAGTGGGGCAGAGAGAGACTGGGACTGACAAAATAAGTATTTGCCATGGGGGATAGGACCCAAGAGGCCTGACTGTTGTATACCTCCTTCCTTAGAGGTTTTTAAGGTCAGGCTTGACAAAGCCCTGGCTGGGATGATTTAACTGGGAATTGGTCCTGCTTTGAGCAGGGGGTTGGACTAGATGACCTTCTGGGGTCCCTTCCAACCCTGATATTCTATGATTCTATGATTCTATACCAGCTCTAACCATTAGACTACTTTGCCTGTTGCCAGTGTTGCCTGAATAGGCATTAGACTGCAGATTGCCTGTATAACTGCATGACTCTGTTAGCAGAAATAATCTGTCCTGGGCCTTTTTATTCTGATGATGAGTCAGTTTCATCCACAGCTGTATTTAAAAAGCAGCAAATACCTGCAAACTTAGAATTATGTTAGGCTCTCCCTTTTCTAAGGACAAGGGGCTGTACTGCTCTGGAAAGGGCAATAGGGGATGGGATTGTTAGTAACCAGATAGATGAGTGCCAGTTTTCCTTTCAGGGCCAAATAATGATATCCTCATACATGCAGTAGTTACCTTAGTCCATAAATAATAGCATTGGCTTCTGTGGGATAGGAGGGCTCCTAGAATAGGGTATCGTTCCATAGGAATAAGAGTATCAGAATCTGGCCCAGAATTGTTTGACACACTAACCACAGCCCTCCAGTGGGTCTTTTAACTTTTGAGGACCAAGCTACAGCCACCCAAAAAAGCAACAAGATCTCAGTCCTGGCTGCCATATTGCTGGAGCGTGTCGGTCCCGGGATATTGGAGAGACAAGGCGGGTGAGGTAATATCTTTACCTCACGCAAAGTGTCTCCCTAAAGGCCTCTCCTGACAACCCCGAGGGCCAAGGAGAGAGAAGGGACTTGGTTGGGACATGCCACACACACAGTAATATGTGTGCATCTCACAAGAGGGGAAAAAAGGACATCATCTAAAGTTTGCTTAGGTTTAGCGAAGGTCAGAGATTTTCGCACCTAGGTGAGCTGTCATCTGGCTCGGGGCAATTCTCTTTCCTCTCGCATCTCTTGCTGGAACAGCAGGAGTGCTTGCTGGCGTGAAAAAGACTAAACTGTCCTCGGGGGCTATAAAAGAGCTGAGTCACAAACAACTTTTTTCTGTTGCATATTAATTTAGGACCATCCAAAATTGTTCTGACATCCTCCCACCTGTTTGTTTCTGAAGACATCGAAAAAGACCTAGGATGAGGCTAACCGAGCCTTTGTGACTTGCCCTTATTAAAACAGTTACAGGTTTATCAATTCTTACCTTCTGCTCCCCTCATTTTGAATATTGTGTTAATATTTTATGCAGGGAAATGATTCCAAGGAGTGAATATATCACATTCAAAGATCAGAAATCAACTGTATCATTGAGACAACACTGCAATACTTAAGTGAATGTGAAGAGATTAGAAATCAGCTGCATCACTAAAATACCATTCAATATTTGTAACCAGTGTTGAATTCTGCATTGTCTTAAAGTAATGCAATGTATCCGATTTCTTAAAGGGACACTTAGAATCCAAAAAGTTAGTTTTACTTTCGAACGTCCTTTGCCTCTTTAAGTTTTCCCCTCTGTATTAGAGACTTAGCCCTTTGGTTTAATAAATGCTTCCTCCCCCCCTGCCCCCCCTACCCCAGTTCTTTCATTTTTCATTTCTTAAACCTCCCATGCAACAACTATTTTGGCTTTTAATGAAGGGAATTTTTTTGCATCCAGTAAACTGTAAACCATGTCGCCTGGATACAGCAAAAGCCGAAATTCCACAGATTTCCACAAAGTCAGACATTGTGTTGAGGGAAAAGCGTGTTGGGCATTCTTTGATTTTGGTGTCCTGCATTAGCATTTGTAACAAAGAAAGAAAGAAAGAAAGAAAGAAAGAAAGAAAGAAAGAAAGAAAGAAAGAAAGAAAGAAAGAAAGAAAGAAAGAAAGAAAGAAAGGCTGCGTGTGATGAACGCAAAATGTGACATTTTCTTTTTTAAGGTTGGCCTTTCCTGCTAGTTGAAAAAAAAAGTCCCCCTTCCTCTCCCCTCAAGACACGATTCGAAGTTGTTTAGCATCTAGGGGTGATAATCTGACTTCTGTTGAACTGGATTGAACGCTGCAGCAAAGAGCAGTAGGTGGTGATGTAATAGGTACCAACGCACATGGATATATAAATATCGTGGCTAGGGCTAAAGCGCTATGGCTGAGCAGCTATAGAAGAAGATCAACACTTCAGACAAGACTTCTGGAGTTGAGATCAAGTTCAGAATAAGATTCAGCTGAGTCGATTCCCCCCCCCCCCCCCGCTTTTCCTCCCCTTGCTCACAGGATTTCTTCCCCATGCAACCTGACCAGGGAAACCACAGCTCCTTTGGTGACTGAGCTATTGGGATCCCTCCTTTGCTACTTCGTCTCCCTTTTTTTCTTTGATCTAAGTATAAAGTGGGAGCTCGGAGGCGAGTGTATTTTTAGAGCAATTGACTCCCTTCTAACCACGTGTGCTGCCCATGTTGATCAGGATGACTCTCCCCTCGGCCTTCTTGCCAATCTTGCTCCTGGGACTGCTTTCGCCTTGGGTGGTGCGCTGCGTTCCTTTCTCTGCCCAGCACAACGACACCCTGGAGTGGCGCTGGGAGACTCTCTTCTCCCGCTCCATGGCCAGGCTCCCGGGGGAGAGGAAAGAGATCAGCCGGGACAGTGACTATCTGCTGGGCATCAAGAGGCTGCGACGTCTCTACTGTAACGTAGGCATCGGGTTTCACATCCAAGTCTTGCCAGACGGCAGAATCAACGGGATTCACAACGAAAATCGATACAGTAAGTTGCTTCTTCTTCTTCTTCTTCTTCTTTTTTAATTTCCCTCACCTTGTCAATTTTCCGGGGGGCGGAGGGGATTTACGACAGGGGGGCTTTGGCACTTCGAAGTGCGTCTCACCTGATTCCTGACATTTCAGCTGGTGACTTTCATAAACTCCCCTTCTTAGAGGGACCAAATGAAAGAGTTGTGGGGCTCTGTAGTTTTTGGAAAAACGTGGAAATCAGCTGAAGGGCACTTGGCTATATTGGCACTTTTCCTTCTTGGTGCCCTGTTCGGAAAATAGATTCGCTTTCCCAGCGTGTGTTGCACTTTGTATATTAGAGCCTTCTGCACAGAAACACACAAGGGCCCCTTTAGAGGGAAAAATTATTATCGCAGCTGGTTACCTAGGTATTGTGAGCGGCTTACAGAAAGCTTTCCAAAGTCAGCTGAAAGTCGGTCCTAAGAATGCACGGTCAAACTCGAGCTGCATCGACTGACTTCCTTGAGCTCAGGTTTGAATTGGGTTATCAAGTCCCCCAAATCAGTGGCATTGGTCCTGCTGAAGACACCAGGTTACTAAGTAAAAAAAAAAAAGTGCTTAGCCAGCAGTCCCAGCGCCTTGGGTTTGAAAGTCCACATGTATATGCTTAAGCGGCATGAGCATTGGAAATCAATCAGGGGAAATCTTTTTGTTCATGTCCTTTCCTCCGCCCCCAAGGACTTGTTTTAAAAATAATGGCACTGCAGGGCTCTGATTGCTTGTGTGAGAGCGATTTATGGAGGAGGCTCCTGTGTATGGATAGAATTGCTTAAAGCAATATTTTCCCTGCTGTCGAAAATAATCAGGTGTTCTGCCCACGTCAGCATCTGGATGCTCAGCACCACAGCGTGCAGGGTGTTCCTCCCCACCCCCAGGTTTTCAAACAGTAAATTGGGATTCCTGAGTCAAAAGCAACTCTCAAGCGTTAGCACAGTCCAATAGAAAAGCATCTGTTAGTGACTTAACCCTTTGGCCCCATGACTTTATCTGATACCCAACTGAAACAATAGGATTTGAGGTTATAAACAGCATGATGACAAATGTTTGATTTGCCACAAACTTATTGTTACTTATTTTAAACTGAGCAATGAGTGAGATTCCTCGTTCCCGTTTAAAATATCGGGGTTGTTTTTATTTTTGATAGAGCTGTTTTATTCGACTTTATCGAGCCACTGAATGAGAGCGGGATTCAGTCTTTAAAGCACAGGGGGAAACCTAACCCACATAATCATCTTGAAAAGTTTCAGAACTGTTTCATCAAGAAAGCCACTGTGAAGTCACGTATAGAAGCATGTGGGTGATGTTAGGCAAATAATCACGATTTAGCCTTAATTGGAGGGAATAGGTTTGATATGGCCACTGTTCGTGTTAAATGAACCCACAATAAGGTTAATACATGTATCTATATTCTGTGTGACTCCATATGCATCGTTTTTCACCATAGGTCTGCTTGAAATTTCTCCAGTGGAAAGAGGAGTGGTGAGCCTATTTGGTGTTAAAAGTGGACTCTTCGTAGCCATGAATAGCAAAGGCAAGCTCTATGGATCTGTAAGTAGCATATGAGATACTGAGTGACTGGATACATGACCATATCAATCCCCCATGAAGAGCGCCTGTGGTATTTTGGGTTTAAATCGCCCAAGCCCCAGTCCTACACTGCATTGCTCATCGAAGTCACGGTCTCCTTGAAGCACTCTGTTTTACTGTGAATGGAAGGGGCACTGTGCAGAGATACTATGGGAGTAGCGCCTTTCATGTAAATGCCATTCTTTGCATTTCTAGCCACTAGATGTACTTACTATCCTTCCTGGTGTAAAAGTCACTCAGCCAGGGACCACCCATATTGTCAAGTTTATCCCCAAACACAGTCATCGTTTTGTTGGGCAATACCACAAGCTAGTGTGCATAATAATTAATTAATTAATTGCATACAATAAATAAATACTAAAGCTCTCCAAATAGGAACCGCTTCAATCAGGCATGTATATCTGCTCAGTTTCTCTGAGGGAACTTTAATTTGTGACCAGTCCCACCTGCGTTTTTTGTAATCTTTTATGACACCCCAAATCAATACCTACCCTGATCACTCTTTGTAAATGCTGCGGAACTGTCACTCTGCTCCGATGATGGATAGACAGTCATCAAAACTCCCACTGCAAAACTCCCTCTTATTAAAAACAAATTTGATCTGTTCAGCCAGAATGAAAGTATGTCTTGCATTTTTACATTGGATTTTGGGAACAAATAGTGGACAGGATTTCATTTTTTAAACCCACTTGGTGCTAAAAATAATAATACAAGTCTTGTTTCAGGTCACTTAGAACTTTCCCTCTGCTTGTTGCCTTCCCCTTTGTATACGTTTCTGTGGCCAGCATCATTTCAGTCCTATGATCCCGTATGTAGAATTCTGCTTTCAGACTGACTTCTCTATCAATGACTTTTCTGATTCATGTCTTTCCGCATTCATTTTGAAGGAGTTTTGGTCACACAAGGGCCCAATCCTGCACCCCCTAATTCCGGCAAAGCTCTAATTGAAGTGAATGGATGTTTTGCCTGAATGAGGATGTGAATATACAAAGTAACTGGTTTAGGGCCTGATCCTGCACCAGTGCAGTCAAGAGGCCATTTTGCTATTGACTCCAGTCGAAGTAGTACCAGGCCTTCAAAGTACAACAGCTCCTCTGTCATCATCTCTAATAGGGACATCAAGCAGGCGTCTTGGCTGCATTGTGTGCCCTGGGTGTTCTAACCTCCAGTGCAGATTTAACTACAGCAGGTCGAGCCCTTATTTACAGAAACTAGTGCTTAAAATTAATAATAGATATAATCCCATTAGTTACTTTAGTATCTATCAGTGCCAGCCCAATACTGTCCTAGTATCTGTATCCAGGAAAAGCACCTGCCTCCCTTTGTATCCACATAAGAAATTATTTCACCTGCAAAGAAAGAGTGTCCTTGCCTTACCCTTCAAATCAGTTTGCTTTCCTGGTCTCTTAGCATCAACGGATCCAAATTTCTCATTCAAGATCAAGTTTTAAGGAAGAAATACTGTCAGTTCTGAAATGTTCTGGGTACCTTGAAATTCTTCCCTCTTTCCTATCAAAACATTTCGCCAATATTTAGAGGGTCCTGAGCTCTGAAATATCCTAGAGAATGTATTGTTGGAGGTGCAGCTAATGTTTTTGGAAGCCAAGGGTTTCTGTATATATTAAATGTAATCTATTTAATATCAGAAAGATCAATGGGCCTATTATTTAAATAAGGTGACTTGAAGGAAGGTTACATCCTGCAAAACTTCCACTGACTTCAATGTAAGGTCTGAAAGTCAAAATCCTGATCCTCGCTAATGGGCAAAGTCCCATTGAATAGATCTACCTGAGGAAACCAACAGAATTTGGCCTTAAATTTATACAAGCTGCATTGCCAGCTGTGTTAAAATGTGACACATTTCCATGGTTGTGTAGACAGACTACTAGATGCTTTTAGCCCCTTCGGACATATCTGATTGATCTGGATTTTAAAACCCTTGATGAATCCATGGTTTCTCAATGGGATGATCTCTTCAAAAGATCACTAGGGGGAAAATCAGCTGTGCATTTCCCTTCATCAGGCCTACACCTGTTGGCAATAATATTTCCATGCCTGATGTTTAATATTTCCTCCCTCCTTCCTCCTCCTTTGCATTTCAGACCCATTTCAATGATGAGTGCAAATTCAAAGAGATTCTTCTGCCGAACAACTACAATGCTTACGAGTCCAGGATTTACCCTGGCATGTACATAGCTCTGAGCAAAAATGGAAGAACAAAGAAAGGCAACAAAGTGTCTCCCACAATGACAGTGACACATTTTCTTCCTAGAATCTGAGCCATCTTCCTTCAGACCTACCTCAGCACAGGGGAAGAGACAAGCCACGCTTGGGGAAAACATGGTGCACTTTTATTGGAGAGTTTTATGCAAGACTAGGTGTAAGATATTTAAATTAATTATTTAAGTCTGTATATATTGCCACAAAATTATTTATAGTTCTGATTTTTTTTATTTCTAAAAACAAGCAAACAAAAAACCCAACCCAAGGTATTTCATTTGATGGTGCAACTGTAGAAGACTTCTGCTTTGTGGTTTATTTAACTTTTTTTAAATTTATCACAGGTGTGCTGCTATTATGTGTTTTAAAACAAGTGAAATTCGATTCCTATATTACAATGTTTTGCACTGTTTGTGTGTTGTACAGTGTTTGTTGGTGTACACGTATTTGTTTGTTTTATTTTTTAACCCACCACCACCAGATAAGGTCTTAGTCTTTGAAAATGAGCTGTGCAAACCTTTCTCAGTTCTGATGCTAGCTTGTAGGAACTTACAATGTCTGACCTCCTTTGTGCAGTGTTGCTATTTAATTGAAATGGTATCGGTTTACTTCTGGTACAGAAAGTGCAGTGTTGAAGTACTACCCCACAAATCTGTTTTTAGATCTGCCAGTGCTGAACTTTGAACTTTCCTGCAGTCAATCTTTGCAGAGCTACTAGGCAGTAGAGACCCTTAAACAACTATATAAACTCATTTTTTTTCTGTTCAGATAAATAGGAGCATCATTTCTTTTGTGACCCTTAGAGAAAGCTAATATTACATATGATTGCTTTGCACATGAGGTCTAAAAAGTGTGTCAACCCCTCCCCTAACAAACACTGTGAAATATGCTACCATGAACTCATTGTGTTTATTTATTCAAATCAAAATTCCTTCTTCAAATTTGTAGACTACACTTATTTTCCAAAGCCTATGAAACTCTATTGCTCCCATAATTTTTAAATATATAGTCAAAACACATTTTCTGGTTCTTGAGAAACCCAAGCTCTATAGATAGAAGTCAGACTGGTTTTAAGTGAGTAAAGCTGGTCTATATTATTTTTAAAATGCAGTGTTTGGAAGGAGAAATATGCTGCTCTTTTCTATGTCTCATTCCCTGACAAAGTTAATTAATTTCTACCTCACTAATTCTTGAAGCCAGTCTCCTAACAAAATCTGCATAGAAGGTGCAAACTTTTCTCTTCAGTATTATAATTCCAGGAAGGGGGTGGATCTTTGCAATCCCAAATCTCTATTTTTCCATATGTAGCCAGAAGTATTTAAGATAGAGTCAGTTGCATCCTATTTGAGCCTTGTCACGTTTGAGCTATCTTTACCCAGTGATTTACTTTTAGTAAGGATAATCATGGTGAAAATATTTGCAGACAGCTGTCAGGCTGCAGCACTATATGGTCATCAAGTAACCCTATATTTTTCTTTCTATATTTTGCAAATGTAACCCATGTCTCTAAAGTAATGAAGGAAAAGGCAGGTTTGATCATGAAAGAAGGGAGAAAGGAGACCCTGAAATGATGGTAAACTTTTAATTTTTTTATAAAAGTGAGACTTCATGATCTTAAGTTGAAACCAGGCCTGATCACAATGTTTAGTGAATAAGTTTAATACTCTTACAGGATGTTTACAGACAGATAATCTTCCAAATTCAACTAATCATTTTTGGACATATACAAGTCCCAAGGCTGCAGAAAATTTGAGTTCAGCATTTTTTCTTTCTACATTCCTATATGAAAAGTTTTTGTTCCACTAGAATCACATATGCTTGCATATATACTGTACTTACAAATGACCTTGAAAAGTAAAGCTACTCACCAAAGTTCAGTGAGATCAGAGTGTAGCAGGACCAGATTTTAAACCATCTACTGCTGCTGTTCAAAAATAAAACCAAATTAAAAACAAAAAACAAAGCCAAACCTAATGAAGCACCTAGGAAACATGGTACCTAAGGATTTCTCTGCAATTTGGGGGTTTTCTGTACTGTCTCTGTTTTCTATATTTGAGTAATCATCAGTGTAAAGTATCAGAGGGGTAGCCATGTTAGTCTGTATCCACAAAAACAATGAGGAGTCCAGTAGCACTTTAAAGACTAACAAATTTATTTGGGCATAAGCTTTTGTGGGTAAAAAACCCACTTCTTCAGATGCATAGAGTGAAAATTACAGAGGCAGGCATTATTATATTGACAATAATGCCTGCCTCTGTAATTTTCACTCCATACATCTGAAGAAGCAGATTTTTTACCCATGAAAGCTTATGCCCAAATACATTTGTTAGTTTTTAAGGTGCCACCGGACTCCTCGTTGCATCAATGTAACTTTCGCCACTACCTCTGAAACTTCACAATTCTTCCATGTTTCAGAAAGCAAAATCAGACTGCAAAGAATTTGTCTGAAGAATGGTTCTTCTGTGTCACCTTTCACTCCATTGAAATCCATAACTGACAGCCTCATTCTAGATGTATTCAGAGATAATTGTTGTAACTTCCGAATATTGTTGTAAAATCTTTATATTGATGTTACATGGTATGAGCTTTCACCATTTACCAGAATCTGTCTGTAGTTTTATACAGGTGCTGTTCAATATTGTGGTGTATGTGCTGTGCACATTTAAATGCATAATAAATGATACACGTTTACACTAGAACTGATTGAAGTTATTTAGAATGGACTTCATTCCTCCTATGAAAGACAAGACATTATTCCTCTCTTTTAAACACATGGGCACCTTTAAATAATATTTACAAGAAGTTGTTATGCCAGATGCTCCCAGCATGCTCAATTTTGTAGTCCTTACTCAGGCAAAACTGTCACTGAAGGCACTGGGAATTTTGCCTGAGTAGGCCCAGGTTCTTGTAGCTGGTTTTAAATGAGCACACTTGCATTCAAGCCAGATCCATAATAATAAATATAAACTATCAATGACAGTAGCAAGAATAGTAGTCACGAGAGACCCAAATTGAAACTGGAGCCTTATTTTGCTAGATTTATACAGACTTGTGGTAAAAGATAGTCCCTGCCTCTTAGTCTGTCTAGGAGTGATTCTTGATAGGTTTTCACCTGGCTTTAATGAATGCTATAGTCACTCCTTGTGGCAGGCATGCTTCAATGAAATAACTGATTTAATATTCTCTGGTCCTATTTTCCTTTGCAGCTGTTCATTGTGCTGTTGCAAACATTTATTGTAATGTCCATTGGGGGAACTATTAGAAATCAAGTACTCAGTGGTGCTCATCTGGCAGGGTTCCTTCTGGTCTATTTTTTTCTCTCAGGTTTTAATCTATACTCAGTTTCTCAGAAAAAAATGTCTCTCTCTCTCTGTGTATATATATATATATATATATATACACATATATATATCTGCCATGAGAAAGGCAATATATAAGTTTGATTCTACACCCACTGACTTCAATGGGAGTTTGTCTAACTAAGAACTGTGTAAAACCGGAGGTAACTCACCCACACTCATCCAACCTGAAAGCAAAAACTTACCATCTGACCTACATGGCCTACATGGCCAATCAAAATAGCCTGAGTTTCACATATTCAATCTTGCATACTCCCAATGAATTGCTCTCAAGCAAATCAAAAACCAAGGAATTATCTGGTGGACCATTTTAAACAACTAATATATTTGAGAAGATCACGATCAGTCCAGAAAGAGAAAAGGAGGCAAAATATAATGAATGTATATTTGTTATGGATTTTTCACCCAAATGTACTGTTAACTGGTGAGGTATGATGAAGTCCTTTTCTGCCAGTTTCACCCAAATAATTAGAGCTCAATGAATGAGGTATTTGATTAATTTCCACTTCTTTTTCTATTTGAAGAATGTACATTAGCAGATCCTGATTTTCTATTATTTATTAGTTATTTAATAATATTTTATGGATAACTGTGAAGTTTGTGTACACCTCAGGATTTGAAATTCAGAATTTGAGTTGTGTTCATTAGTTGTGGTTGAACAACTAAAGTCACTCCAATCCTGCAAAGACTTGATCCAGTGTTTAACAAGCATGTGACTAGTCCCACTAATGTCCATGTGTAAAGCTAAGCATACATACCGAGACTGTAGGCATGGTGTTATTCCTGAGTGTAGAAGTGTAACTCTTATAATCAGGTTTCTGGAGTGAATGTTCCCTGAAAGAATTTAAAATTTGTTTCCCATAAGCATGCAAAGATGCAACCTTAGAGTTTGCTTACTACTAGCATTCATGCTTGTAAAACTTTTTTGCACAAATGTTTGAAGAAAGTAAGTGCAGAGGTGGTGTGAATACATCTGGAGCAAATATATTTAAAAATACAAACAAGTGTTTGCAAATGTTTTTTCCCCCAGCTCTATAAATAAGATAGCACTCATTACATAAAATAAGCTTATATATTCCCAGGTAGAATGTAATTGATAATAGCTCAGGCATGCTGATAATTAACAAAAGTGTGTGTTTAAATATATTATTTAAACAACTAGAGGACACACACGCATCCACACACACACACACACACACATCTATCATGATTATGTCCTGTAGTTGTTTAAGTTACCAGCATGCCTGAGCTATTATCAATTATGTTCTACCTGAGAATGAAACTATGTAACAATCTCTATTTATGACCACTGAGCTCATAATATGATGAAACATAAATATCAACAACAGTAGAAAAAATGAATGAAATTACTGCTTAACTACCTAAATGAAACTGTACCTAATGATTAGATAGAGCTGAATTTTTTCCAATGGAAAGGTTTCCCATCAGAAAATGCTGATTCACCAACCTTATCAGAACAGAATTTTCAATATTTTGTTTCTAAATATTCATGTATAAATTATGTTTTATTCTATACTATATTATAAATTATACTACAAATAACATTTTAAAAGTCAATGTTTCAATTTTATCAAAACAAATTTTTTCAACTGACCCAAAACAACAAATTTTGTTTTGCTAGAAATTTTGAAAATCAGTGTTTTAGTCCAATACAGAGCGAACATTTTTTTCAAAATCACACACATCTTTACAGTACTACTAATAATGAATCCAAAATTGATGAGGGGTTAAGTACCATAAAACTGAAATAGACTAGTGCCCAAAGAATATCTCTTCAAAAGTAACTGTGTAAACAACTGAGATGAAGACAGACAAGGTGCGGGAGGAAATATCTTTTTATTGGATGAAGACAATAAGTTAAATTAACTGACAGTCTCAAGCACAAATTTACTCTTCTCAGGACAAAAGGGCATGAAAGACACCTGATCTCTGGGCTGCAAGGTCAAGGGAATTTAAATGATATGCTGCCATTTCATTTTTTGCAGATCTGTGTTTGTGTCTCTTACTGTGGGGAGCATTTGTATACCCAGGCTTCTAAATGTGGTCAGCGTTTAACCCATAGACATGTCTACAGATAGTTCTATACTCAAGTGTTCCCTTGTCAAGCATGTTTTGCTCTGACTGTTCAATCTAGATGTACCTTCTTAATTGGACATAACTATCATGATTATATTTATTATTTACATAGTACTACAAATACACGTAATGCTTTCCAATAAGTATAATGAGCAAATGAAAAGTCCCTGCCCCAGACTGATCACAATTTGAGTGCAGAAAGCAGATATGATCCAGTGAACAAACATAAGGGACTTGCTGATCAGTGTGCTGAGGTTCCGTCTGGCAGATGAGCGCTCTCACCCTCCACTTTTTGGTCTAATTGTGCTCCCACCAAAGTCTGTGTGTCATGAATCAGGAGATGGGGAAGAAAAGTCAGGCCTAGTGGTCAGAGCTGGAGTCAGAGGCTTAAAAAGCACCAAAGGTCAGAGCTGGAGTCTGGGACCAGGAATCAGAGCCAAGGATCAGAGCCAGAGTCAGCAACCAAGCAGGAGAGCAGGGCTGGAATGGACTGGTCAGGACAGGAGGCTGTGAACTAGGCAGGTACAGGGCTAGAGCAAAGCTGGAGCAGGGCGGGCACAGAAGAGCTTGCAGTTGTGGGCATGTGCATTCAATAGCCAAAGATCAGTTATGAGTGTTGGGCTTAATCAGGTGGAGTAGTCAATCAGACGGCCCTGCTGTGGCTCAGCTGTGCACATAGGCATAGGCTGCCTGGAGACAGGGAAGGAACATTTGCAAGTCCTCATTCCTGACACAGTGGGGATTCTAACTAGACCTTTTTTCCTTAAAATCTCCCTCCATTGCTTCCACCAGAGCTAACAATGGTTGAGTCATTACAGTAGACTGGCTGCCAGGGGCTTGACCACCATACGCTCTAAGCTCCTGCTCAGAGAAGATCTAAATGACATGGTGACCAATGACAAAGTTCTGGTAGAGCAGCCTATGTGTAGAGCCGTCTACACTACTCCTCCCAACATTGCTAACATCAGTGTAGCTGCACTCCAGGTGGAAATGGTGGGAAATTTCACGGGAAAAGTCTAGTGTGGGCAAGGTCACTGGACATTTTGTCATTGACCAAAGAAGGTGTAGAATCAGTCCTTAGACCACTGAGAGTTGAGACCATGCAACACAGTGCAGGAGTTGCTCAGCATCTCACAGGCTGAAGCCCACATCAACATGTGGCCTTATAATCGGATGCTTCAGGAGAAGGTGGAGTTTTCTTGAAGAAGAGGAGGGAGGGTACATTGCATAGATTAAGAGGGAGTGAAAGAGTCTAAAGGAGCATTCAGGAGAGAGGTTTTAACAGATTGTCGGAAATGGAAGGAAGCATAGGGTACAAATGTAGTAGGGTTGCCAATTTTGGTTGGATGTATTTCTGGAGATTTCATCACATGACATAATCTCCTGGACAATCTTGGAGGGTTGGCAACCCAGTGTCCATCACTAAGTATGGTAATTTTGTCAATGTCTGTCCTGCAACGTGGTGGTGCCGATCCCTGCTTAGACAGTAACTTAAAAAGAAGCTTGAACTTTATGTGGAAAAAGTTAGGAAGCTAGTGCAGAGATTCAAGAAGGATGAAAACATGGTCCTACTAGCAGGAGAATAAACATATCTTGATAACAGTGTCAACTCAGATTAACAGGGATGTGCTTGAGAATTAGAGGTCAGCTCCAGAAGCAAACTTCTACCAGTGTTGTAGGGT